CATCACCATCATCATCAATAATCTAACATATTTGTAACAGTAAACCTTATTGGCTTTGGTATAGTTTAAACAAATAAAAGAAAATCCTAGGAATGAAAAAGTGAAAAAAAATAAAATCTGCCCAAGCTAAAGAGATATATTTTGAACAGTTCATATCTCCCACCTCTAGTGATTCTAGAGGCCTTTAAAGCTGAAGCACCAAAATATAGCTTCCCTGGGGACTCTTGTAAGTTGAGCCCCCCACCACCCCCACTTCCCCTCTGGTCCCCTTTCCTTAACCTGTAACCCCCTTGGGCCACTACATCCGTAGGCTTCAGAATCTAAAGCACTGGCTGAATAAGTTTATTCACAAAAACACATGATGATGTTAAGATCCTAAGAATATCTCCGTAGTACACTAACATTTTTTGACCAAAGGGCCTCACAAAATGCTAAAAGTACAGTGCTGTTTGGAGTCCTATTTCTCTCATTTTGCAGGAATAAAAAAATATATTTAAATAATCGCTACTGAGAGGGTAGGGGGTAGGGGCAGTAAAGACCAATCGAGGCAAGTAAAAATGATCTTTTTGATAACATCACATTTTTAATGTTTTTTTGTACGTTATCCAAGTGGTTTGCCTGTGGAAGGCGGCGGCCGTCCGGGCAACAATGAAAAAGGAAATGCTTTTCCAGTAAAAGAATATCTATAAATAAAAATATATTTGCACACACAAAACTCACCTGAGACTGTTCTTCTGTCAAATCAAGTGTTATATTAACCTCTTGCCTTTTAGTCTTTCCTTTTTTCTTCGTATTTACGTTTGTTTTTGTACAGGAGTCTTCAACAGCAGCAGAAAAATTACACAACAGTCTTCTTTCTCCAAATTTTCTAACCCTTCCTAACGCATTATAATGAAATAAGCGGTTTCCCTGAACCCAGAGATGTTGAAACCATCTCGTGGTCATAACTGTATCGTCATTTTATCTTTACGGATTTAGAACTGTAGTTATTGTTCTGCAAATTACATTTTTCTTACTTCGCCGCCATGTTTACTACTTCCCTTTGACCAAGGCTTTGTGCGGAAAAATGCCTAACACCCCTCCCAGCAAGATGTGGTTTTTCAACGTTTAAAAACAACTTTTTTTATTCCGTATATTTAAATTCTAAAGAAAACATACCACAAAATAATCCCAATCTTTAAGAACAGGGACAAAAACATAATAAATAGTAAAGCTATTTTAAGAGAATTTTGTTTAGATAAAACGCCTCTGTACCCTACCCCCCACAGTTTCTATTTTCCATGGCTATTATTTCCACAGGAAGCCCGCTTCTGCACCGTTCTGAAATAAGGTTAAATAAACAGAATTCTTTTGTAAATTCTTGAGAAAAAAAACAACTAAAATCATATATTTAAAGTGAATTTTATATTGTCATTATTTTGTACAACGATTATATAGAATATCATAAGATTCGGGTTAAAAAGGTAAATATCGAGTTTGGGTTTCCTGTGTATTTCTTTGTCAATTTTCAAGATGGCGGATAAACATTGGGATGAAGATTATTTCATTGAAGTATCGTCGTCTAAAATTCCCGAAGAGTCTACGAAGATAAGAGGCATTGGAAGAGGAAAAATGAACATCACTCAAGACATTTCATCATTAAAATTACCTAAAGCTGCCGTTGTAAAAGAAAAAGAATACAAAAGTACAGCCTCTCAGGGGAGGGGGAGAGGAGAGCTACGTTCATTTATGTCACACGGGCCAGCAAGACTACCAAAGGATAAAAATACCAGGAAAGATTTGATTGGACTACATGTATGTATTTCACTGATTGTTTGCTGGCCTTTTTTTTACCGGTACTTTGAAATAGGTTGGTGAAGATTTGAACGTATATGAATATGGCTTATCTCCGAAGTAATAAGCTTATGATTTATACAGCACGTGTGCAGATGACATCCCTATACCAAAAAACAATACCAGCTTTATAATCTATAGAACGAAACACAATAGATGTAACAAAAGGGCAGCATATCAATGTTGCAATTCTCCTCATTAATTGTGGCATGTTGTAATGTATCATATTGATTACATGAATACTGTCAGCCCCGGGGGTTGTTCCCCCCTATATTCGCTATACAGGTACATGCCGCCAAACAGGGTATGGTTTTCAGTAAAATCGCTCTCGCTCTGGGAAAGGGTATATGAAATCACGCTCTCTCCTCTCTGGAACAGGGTATCCATTTGAGCACTACTGGAAATGGTTATGGTTTTCAGCGATCTTGCTCTGGAACAGGGTATGAATTTCAGCGATTTTACTTTGGATAAGGGTCAGGGCTCAGCGGCATATCCCTACCCTAAACGGGCAAAATTCCCCCCCCCCCCCCGGGCTGTCAGCACAGAAAAAAAAATACACTCGGAAAATGGGCAGTTTTGGGAAATTCCATGTTCTTGTGAATTTTCGCTGAAATTGCCGCATGACACTACCCATTGTGCATTTTGGGCTTTGTATGCAACTTGCAACTAAACCTTTGTTAATCCCTTTTTGAAAAATAAAAATGTTGCATCAAGTCATAATTTTAAGATATTGAAGCTGTCTATTTGCAGTTGAATCACTGATATTGATGTGTTATTATTATTATTATATTATTATTATCATTATTATTATTATTTTACATTCAGAGTATAAGCCATTTTCCTTCACTACAATCAGTGGCATCATCTTCTAAACAGTCACCTTCAAGTTCACCAAAGAATTCTGCTAAGAATAGGAAGTCTACAAGTCAGACTACGTCATCATCAACATTATCATATACAGACACAGATTCAAATTGGCCTTCATTAAAGTCTTTACCAGAGCCTAGCAATAAAATGACAGAAGACCTACATTCCTTTGCGCAAGCCTGTAAGGAAAGCGGAAGAGACAAAAATCCAACTCAATCTTTATCAAAAGTAAGTTTTACATCTGTGTAAGCATCGTTCCTTCTATTCAACAATCCACAACATATTTATCCATCCCTCCATTTATCTATGTATCCATCCATCCATCCATCCATTTATCTACGCATTCATCTATCCACCCATCAATAAATCTGTCCATGCATCCATCCTTGCATCCATTTATACATGCATTCAACCATCAATCCATCCATCCATCCATCCACCCACCCACCCATCCATCCATCCATCCATCCATCCACATCCATTTATCTATCCAAAGTGCTGATCCAATCTTT